TTATTAATGAAGACTTCTTGGGAGCGTGAAAGCTTACATTGCTGGAAAATAGGACTGGTGGGGTAACCTGCGCAATGCGTTTTTGACTAGCATGACGCAGGGACGTGCGTACATAGTGCATTGTGGTTACCGAGGGAGTTATTTGACTTAAGAGCTCATACTGGTTCACCCTGAGGGGTGGGGGCAGAGAAAGATTGGTCGACCCACCTGCGGAAGCAGCAGCGGTGTGCGCTGCCGTATTGCCTTAGGCACACCCATATGCCCCAGCGTCCAGATAATTTCCATTGGCCTATCGGCTTTTTCATGCCTACGAATGATGCTTTGAATCGCAGCAGCTGTAGCATCCTCGGACGCTGGGCGAAATATTTCCGAGTAGGCAGCGTGCGAGTCGGTAAAGACACGAAGGGGTTTCTGTATAGTGTATGGGAGGCTTGCAGTCGCTCCCCATATGGCAAGTAGTTCGGCATGCATAGGGGTACCGTTTGGTAGATGGAACCTGTAGGCCCTCGGTGGTCTGCACGCAGATCCATGCTATACCAGCTTCGTCATCGGTAATGGCAGCGTCCGTGTATATGTCGATGGTATCTAAGCTCGCTTCCCTTAGTTGTTGCGTGGCAAGAAACTGGCGGGCAATATTATTATGACGAGATATGGGGCGACGGAACAGTCGAGAGGCTATTGGAGTTTCCCATGGGGGTAAGGACTGATTAAGAAGAGGTGCATCATCATGTCGCTGACAATCCCAGGCCAGAAAGCGACGACCTTGTGGCGTGTTTTCCAGGCGGATGTGGTGTCGAGTGTGGGCTTCACAAATGACGTCTTGCAGAGGGGGCAAGCCCCATGCGCTTTCAAGGGCGGATATCTTAGTGTGTTTAGGGAGCCCCGTGATGGTATGGAGAGTAGCCCGATGACGGCATTCCAAATTTAGGATGTCCGTTGGAGAGAACGTGTATATGGGTGCACCGTACAAAATCTTCCCAACAGCCGCAGCTCTTGCTAGAGTGCGACAGGCTTGTTGTCGTCACACCTCCGTATTTGAGGGACAGACAACGTATCATATGTAACGTGGCTGGCCAAGCCTGCCGCAGTCTACGTACCCACTTTTGTGGGCTGTTGCAGCTGGCTATTGATAAACCTAAAGCTTTCATTTGTCCGTTTTTTTATTGTATAGTGTGTGATCCAATATGGAGTGAGATACACATTTTCGGGTTGGTGCGATTCAGCGGCCTGATCAAAACAGTATAGCGGGGCCAACTCACCCGTTAGGCGTGCAGTCTGGGCAAGGTTCCTTTAGGCGTTGCATAAGTTTGTTGCCAGACTGGAAGGGTTGTTGTTGCCAGACTGCCGCTAAATTTGGCTAAAAGTTTTCTTCTGTAGTTGTGGCTTCTGACATTACGGATGCACCAAATTCTATCCGTGGTGCACGGAATGCACCACCGATAGCACCAAATTCTTACGGAAAAGCCACAACTACAGGAGAAAACTTTTCAGCCAAGAAATGCACCGCGGATAGCACCAAACCGTCACCCCCGGAAAATCTTTTCAGGCCTGCGCCCAGCAATCTGACGTCATTTCCGGCCGGCCGACTCTCGGGGAAGCCGCAGCGGCAGCGAGCGCAGCGCGGGCGGCGGTGGTGACGGTTCGGCGGCGTGGTGTTGACGGTGTTTCACGTTTGTTGCTTTCTGTTGTTGTTTTGCGGCAATTTCGTTTCCGTGCGTGATGCTGGAGTGATGCGACAATGTCGAATAAGTGTTGTGTACCCGGATGCACCGGCAACTACAAAACAGGAAAGAAGATACAAGTGTTTTCCTTCCCTAAAGACGCCGACGCTCTCAAACAATGGCTACGCGCCATTCCTAGGAAGGACTTCGTGCCGACTTCGTGCACTAAGGTAAGAATTTGAGATGCTCCTGTTCTTAGCTTGTCGTTGCTTGTTCGGGTAGAAATCACCTATGATGGGAAATACTTGAGCGTGTGGCCGCCGGGCCTCGCGAAGCGCTGACGCCAGCAGCGTTCGCAGCAAGGATGGTCAGCTGCGCTTTGTTCACTAACAGTGCCGTGGTGTCGTCCATTCTTGCAAGCTCTCGGTGGAAGCGCTTCGTGGAGTGCGGTGACATCATGCTCCCGTGTTTCCTTTCATGTTGCTTGTACCGCTTAGCGCAGCGCTTTATTTAGATGCTTGCGAAACGTAGGTAGACTTTGTTTTAGCTACACGGACTGTAAACACGGTCATGCAAACGGGAGCGCATTTTTTTCTTTTGAGAAGTGGCGTCTCAGACGTTCTTGAAACGTTTGTGCAGGTGTGCGCGGATCATTTCGACGCTTCATGCATTGAGAAGACGACATCGTAGACGGATCCAAGGACAGGGAGAGTTATTGAAGTTGCACTCCCAGTACCACGGTTGCGTCCTGGATCTGTCTCAACGGTATTTCCCGGCTGTCCGCCCTACCTATCAGTACGAGACCAGAGCACGAGAGAAACCCCTGACGCCAAGAGGAGCCGACAAGAAGCCTCCCAACTCGCCCGTGCTGTAGAAGAGTCGCAGGCGTCATATGAAGCGGAGCAAGAACGAGACCGGTTTTCGTCCCTCGAAGAACTAAGGGCTCGCCTGCAAGGGGTGTCAGTGTCTCCGAAGTGGACTGTGATTCATAAAGAAGAGTGCTCCATGTTTTTGAACATTATCGACTATCGTGAACCTTGTTTGAATGCGTCATTGACCGTGTTTGCAAACCTTGAAGTCTTTGCCTGCTATCAAGGTTCACCAATCAAGAACCTTGGTAGCGCTGTTGTACCAGACTCAGTTCAAAAAGTAAGTTCCTAGTTGGAAATTTTGAACAACCTGTCGATGCTGTCTGAGGAGCGCTGCACTTATTGCCACCTGGCTCAAGCAATACATTCCCTTGTTTGAGCCTTGTTTCCAGTTTTGTATCTCTTTACAAGTTGTTAGCTTTTAAAGGTGCTGTACTTTTTTCTTTTTTTTTAACTCGAACTGCCTCGGTGCCCACTGTAGCAGTTGTACAGTCCGTTTTGGTACCTAAGCTGTGTACACTTTCCTTGTGCACTCTGTGTACAGACATGTTGTGCACTGTGATTTGTTTTTTCTTAGATTTTTGTTTGATTTTTTCCCTAGAACATGCACCTACCTGTGGCAGTACAATTACTTTTCTTTCTGTCATTTATCATGCTGTGGACCACAATTTAGTCACCAGTGTTCTTATGTATTGTATTTTTTGGCAAGTGTTTGAACCTGATACCTTGTGTTGCTACTGCTACTATGATAAACGAATGGTATGTTTTCCTCTAACCTACAATTTAAATGAAAGTGTGCTTTTTCTGTTCCAAAGCTCGGGGATGTTTTTGCTGTTACAATCTGTTTTGTTTTCTGAGTTTTATGTGGCAAGATATTGTGTTTTGTACTTTTGGCATATTTTCAGCATTAAGGGCAACATCTTGTGTTGCCTGTCGTCTGCCTGGACCGAGAACAATGTGCACTGTGATATTTGTACAGACGGCGTCTGGCTGTGATAAATAAATACGCATTATTCCATTCACGATATTCATTATTTCTTGATACCTTGATAAGTTCCCCCGCAACGGTGGCTCAGTGGCTAAGGCGTAGCGCTGCTGAGCACTAGGGCGCGGTTTCGATACCCGGCTGCGGCGGCCGCATTTCTGATGGAGGCGAAAAGCAAAAACGCCCGTGTGTACGAGATTTCGGCACACAATAAAGATTCCCAGGTAGTAAAACTTGATCCTGAGCCCTCCCCTACGGCGCGCTTCATCGCCTGCGTTCCGTCGGCGCGTTAAACCATACAATCAATGGATACCTTGATAAATCGTGCGGACATGGTGTCAAGGAACCTCGCCCGAGTCGGTAGGCGTGAAGGGCGCTCGCGGCTGGCGCAGCCACCCAGCGAAGGGCGGCCGGCCGGCCGGCGCGATGTGACGTCGTCGACGTCACGTCACGTGACGCGCAGGCCTGAAAAGCTTCCGGGGGTGACGACCAAACTCTTACGAAGAAGCCACAACTACAAGAAAAAACTTTTTAGCCAAAATTAGCGACAGTCTGGCAACAAACATCCCAAAGTCTGGCAACAAACTTATGCAACGCCAAAAGGAAACTTGCCGCAGTCTGTTCGGCGACACTTGGCGTCGGTAGTACACAGCGTTATTCTTTTGTACCCCATTGTCGAGAAGTTCGGTGGCGCCGGTGGAAGAGCCCGCTGCCGTGGACCCGACGTTCGGTAGACGATTCTGATGAGAACGTAGACTGTGTTGCATCCATTGTCTCGTTTTCGTCAGATAGCGTCGGGAAATCGCCTGAGTTCACTGGAACGCTTGTGCATGCCGCGGTCGTTTTCATAGCAGGCGTCTTTAGATTCGGAGTGAAACGCGCCAAGCGTAACAGGTTCACCAGGCACGGCACGGCCGCGCGGACGCGGTGCGAACGCGGCCGCCGGCAGCTGTGCCCTAGGCCAGTCCGAAGCTGCTCACTAGGCTTAGGGTGGTCAGTTCACAAAACACAGAAAAAAGGTTCTCCAAAAACGCTGTCTGTGCGACACAGGCTCACCGTGTAACTGGCATTCACTTCTGCGGCAACGAACCATGGTCTATCAGCCGAAAAAACTAGTGAAACTCGAAATGTGTCAAATGCGCGCCACAGCGGGGTTTACCACGAGCGGTGCGAGTGTAGAGACATCATAGCTGATAAGTACACAGCGGGCGAAAGTCGCGAAGCTGCCCGCGACTACCGACGATGGCTTCCTGCAAATACGAAACTTTTAAGATCCATATGTGCATGCAATTTTGGAGCGACGACGATGAGATTCGCGGTCGCCATGGCTGTCGCGAAGGGCCGCGGTTCGTCGCCATCGCGTCGCTGGTTTCTGGAAAACCAGAAGAAAGTCACTTGGCGCCCATAAAAGAATTCCGTAGCGCCCGATTCTCGCTTCGGTTGCAATTTGCTCTTCGTGCGTTCATCAAGGAACACAAGACTTACCCAAACTTCCAGACCTCAGGTTCATGGCCATCGCCTTTATCATCCAGTGGCTACAGTTTACTTTGATGCTTCGTTATGCTTGCTGTAATACATGTTGGTTGCTGCATGCAATGCTTCGTTAAGCTTGCTGCAATACACGTTGGCTGCTTGATACAATGTTGAGGTCGCCGTGCGAGGTTGCCCACAGAACACCTTGCGCGAAGTTAAACTCCAGATATTTATTCCTAAAGCGCATGACAGTGTATGCGGAACACGTTAAACTAATAAATTCGCTTACGCACGTACGTTTAACAAAATCACTCTTTTTTAAAAAAACAGAAGAGGGTTCTAAAATAGATGCCCCAAAGCCCGCGCTTCAGATCAAGCAGGAGCGAAGAGTTTTCGAATAGGATCTGCGGCGCTTTGTGTATTAACCCAATTCTTGTTCACGCCACTTCAATAGGTGCCACCACGTTTGTCTGACGCAAAGCTTTTGGGGCTCCCGCTAAATTCGAGAAATAGCGTCCCCAACCCAAAACCTAAACTCGGTTTCGGTTTTGCACACGCACATTGGCCTTGACACTATTTCTTTGGGGCACCCATTCGAAAACTCCCCAGAATTTTATTGCTCTCAATCTGGTGTGTCTTCTTCATATTATAAACAATCGAGAGGTATCTCCCAAGGTTCGGTAATATCGTCATTGTTATTTATTTAATGTCTTACTGTGCTATATGCCTGCACAACACAAAGTACAGGTGTATGTATATGGAAAAGGTCCTGTCAAAGATCTTTTGGGGATCACAAAAGCATTGCACTGAGCACTTATATATAATTCCTCAAAACCTTTGCGCACCAAGTAGATGCATTTCATATGTGAAAACTTTCTCCACACGTTCGTTTAATACAGTCATAAAGTTAATGTATATTTTCGCCTCATTTGTTTCTTTTTTGGCAGAAAATTTTCAAAGTACGCGTTCCGCCTTATGAAACATGCGTAGTTGATCGGCTTGGATATCGAACCTGGTATTGCAAAATGTCTATTTGAAACAGTGTGTTCCTAAATGTCACAGCCTTAAATTGGTCATTATATGCTGCTGTAGCGCACAATAACAAACTAGCAGCTGGCAACCACTGACCTTACTGATCAGTAAAGTAGCCAAGCCATTCCAAGCCAACTGACTCTTAAAATGGTGTCTGTCAGAAAAGGTGCTGTGTTCTAGTGACAACGGCACTAGTGAAGGTTCGTGTCCTTTGTTGTTTGTGTGCATGGCTAAAAGCGAGATATGCGGGAGAGTTTAAGTCGTATGTGACGACAGGACGTAAATTGCCGTGTTGATGAGTGCACTGGGCTGCTCAACGTTCAGGCTGATCATGGATGTATTGTCACCACGACCGCGGCGAGGTGTGGTTCGAAGCAGCCTGAAACACCAGCCAATTGCGATCAATTGTGCTTCGAAGCAGCCTCGTCCCAACGTGAAAGAATCGACTTCTGCATCTGACACATGGCCCGACCTCGGGCAAGTCAAGTCAAAGACCATGTAGAGTGTACTGCTAGGCTGTCATAGCGGAGCCTCTATTACTAGTGAGTGCATTGGGCATGATACACGTGGTGATGAGTACACTGTGTCAAACTTTTGAGGAACGTTACAAACGTGATTGATTGAGCTGTGTTGAATACCTTGGTACTGCTTTTTTTTTTTCAGACTATACTGCTGTGTTGCGGCTGGCAACACAGCAGTACAGTCTGAAAAAAAAAAAGCTGGTCAGCTTCAGCTGACCACGCCGTTCCGTCCGCGCCTTTCAACTACGCATCAGACTGTTACATGTGGCCTCCACACAGCATTTCTTCTTCAAGGGGGGAGGAGTTACCAGTCAGTGTCACTGGTTCAAGTTCACCAAGTCATATGGTTCTCTTCGAACGCTCGCCGCATTGCTGTGTTGCGGCTGGCTGGTCCCGACGAAGCAGAAGAAGAAGACGGCCGACGGAGACGTAGGCGGGGATGGAGGCAGCCGGCGGGGACGCCGACCAGCCCGAACACGCGGGTTGGCGCGAAACGCCGAAGAAAAGAACAACAACCGCACTCCACGGTTACCCAACTCACACTGATTTTATTTACAGTCGCCTTGATATCTTGGATGCCAGAGCGGCGCCCTCTGGCATCCTCGCATGTCATTTCGAAACCGAAAACCCAGAATACAACATGTACGTGGACTCGAATGCCTGACAAAGCTGTCAGTTGTGAATAATTACTGTTAAATAAATTTCAGTCAACAAGCTTTGTTTGCTTTGTCACCTCTCTGTTGATTGGTACATTATATATACACGAGACCTCGCAGGTGTTTTTCTTTTGATGTATGGAAATATCATGAAAACAAGTGAATCCTAAGTAGTATCACTGCCCACAGTACCGAACCGGCCACGCAATCGTTCTTCTAAAAAGATACTGAAAAAGTCCTAAAGCGCTGTTTTGAGGATGTGCTGAGGTTGTTATGGGTATGGAGGGGGGGACGTGACGAGTGCCGTTCTAGTACCATAAGAGGACATACTGAGGGCGTCATATTATCCTCACGGAGGCATGCCGAGGACGTTCTGAGGTTGTGTTTGTGTTGTCTAGGACCCGACTACAAAAATCGACCACAGGTACTTTTAGAAGGCGTATTATTACAGTTATGTGTTGGGCTCCCTAACACGCTTGCCTTCTCTTCTTACAAGGTTCCACATTCTAACAGTTCGTGTCTTCCCGAAGATACAATGTTTTTTTTTTTTTTTTCATTAAGGAGTCGACGTGTTTTTAAACCAACGGTGGTCTAGATTAAGGGGCCCCACCCAATGTTATCGTCGTACAGAAACTTGGCAACATTACAAGTGAACCGTTGTAATACACTGATACTAAAAGGAACCATTTGAACATTTAGAGTAATGTTTGACTATATATTTCCCAAGAATTTCAAAGATCTTCCCAGTAGGTACCTAAATGCCATTTTGAAAGATCTTCTGGCTAGTTTGCAATTAAACATTGTAGTTGCAGCCGATGCTTCAGTTTGTGAAGAAAAGGCAGGAGTGGGAATTGAATCAAGAGGTTTGCATTGGTATTTTTCAATTCGTTCACATGAATTTACAAGTAATCTAGAACAGATGCTGTCATTCTGACCGGGTGCCTGCCTATCTGTTCTTCATTAGCTGCATCTAATCTGTCAAGTGCCTTAAAAGTATATTCTTGTCCCCATATATTTAAGTCTCATTCGCTTGGTGTGGCTACCAGGTAACCAAGGTTGCCCCGGCGCGGTGGTCTAGTGGCTAAGATACTCAGCTGCTGACCCGCAGGATCGAATCCTGGCTGCGACGGCTGCATTTCCGATGGAGGCGGAAAAGTTGTAGGCCCGTGTGCTCAGATTTGGGAGCACATTGAAGAACCCCAGGTGGTCGAAATTTCCGGAGCCCTCCACTACGGCGTCTCTCATAATCATATGATGGTGTTGTGACGTTAAACCCCACATATCAATCAATCAGCTAACCAAGGTTCAGCCCTCGACCAATACGCAGATGCACATAAAGTGGCACCACAGAACGGTGCCACAATTTCTATATTGCCGACGCTAGTGTGCGAAGTCTCGTTTGGCATTATCAGAGTTTCCTCATCGTAAGTATCCTTGGAAAAATGGATGGTGCTCCTCTAGTAGGGTGGAAATGTCAATTACCAGACCATGATGCAGAGTCCCCCACCGCTGAATTTTTACCTACAGAGGTCTGGTCTGGTACAGTCATCCGTATGCCTCCACTGCAACTGAAGTTAACCTCTGAATCATTTCCTTTTTAACATGTAGATTTGAGAATAAAAAAAACAACCTTTTTGTGGGATCGCTATACATTCATCTCTTCTGGTGGTTCTTTCCTTTGGAGCAATGGAAAAGGGCTTTAGCAACAGGAACGTTTGCAAAGCGGTATTCGTAAGGTAAACGAAACTAATTAAATGTTAAGAGTGTAGCCATATATTCACTTTATGCTTAAACTGTTACCATCTCTTACTAATAATTTTGAAAACACCCTTAGTCTATAAGCTTGTTTGGTTTTCATGTTTGCAAAGCCGCATGCAATTTCCTAGGGGAAACAATGAATAGAAAATTAAGCATGTAGGCATTAATTCACTCCATCTCAAGCCTATCAGCTTGGGTTCTTTTATAGCTTTCTTTCGTTTATTTCATTTTTAATTCATTACCAACGATTTTAAAAACATCCATATATTATCTTGTAGGCATTGTAAAATAGCATGGAATGGCCAGTGGTAGGCTAACAGTCGTTCGTTTCCTAATGGCACGGTTGAAGACTGAATGCATCGAGAACAGAAGCCAGGCTAGCGATTGAGAAGGCGATGTGCGCGGGGTCCGATTACGCTATCACGCTGCGTTCTTGATGGCGAAGCTTGAGCGCAGACAGTGGAATAGCCAGGGAGGGGGCAGCACACCGAGCTCGCGCCAAGAACTTTTTTCTTCATTTTTTCACCAGAGGTGCACGTCCCGCAATGGTGGTGCACAAGGTTAAGTGAGGTGCACACCCCTCAATGAACCTTTCCATCAGCGATTCTCCAATATCTGTAAAGCTTGTTTCATAAAACATGCAAGCCACTTGACACAGCATAAACAAAGCTGTCCACATTCTTGTGGCCTGAGCAGTGTTGCATGCATTGAAAAATCGACGCTGCGACCTTTTCAATAATGCATGTGTGGACTTTTGACATTCGCTGGCCTACTTTCAAATTAACACTCAAGTAAAAACCATTAACAATAGCTACCATTAAAGCTGAATTAATGATTATGTAAGCCACCAAGTTCACAAAATTTTCTATTCTACCACAGAGATGAGTTGTCTTTTGTCAGAACAACACTCAGTGGCCTACTTTCATATTAGCACTGGTTACTCTGTCACGTCCAAAGCTTGTTTAATAAATATGTGAGCCACTGGGTCCCAATTATTGCATGAAAAAAAAAGGGGGGGGGGGGCATCCAAAGGCCAAGTAGGCTTTCAAATAAACACTTCAATAAGAACCATGAAGATCAGCCACACACTCTCAAATAAAAACTGATTTTTAATATAAACTGACATTACAGTCAATGACATTTTATATAAAAATATTGCTGTGAAATATGTACATGTACAAACTCAGTGCTA